CAGAGGACGAACATTGTGCCCAAAACTAGTCAGACAACCCCGGCCACCCCCTGCCCCAATCCCACCCCCGCCAAGCATACAGTTGTTGCAATAAGAGATATTACCAAACAAACCTACGTTTGGAAGGAAAGCTCTTTTATGGAAGATTGTTTAATCATCTTAATCAGTTTAAATGTATTGTGCGCAGACTGCACAATTACCATTGACTCGTCTGCTAGATTCATTTTGCTTCGTGTATTATTCCACTACAACCAAAAATCCTCAAGAGCATTTAGGTGCCTTGTTGTTTCTTAAGATGCTCAAGCTCATTATTTATACAGCACTGAAATACTCAAAACAACGGCATTCAGATGCCAGGTAACCCAAGGGGTTTAAGTCTTCTAGGCAACTTGCATTCCTGGGCAAACACAAATGCATCTACCAACCAAGCGAACAAGATGCTCGGAGCCCTGACCTGGAGGCATTCGGCTGTTATTCTCCACATAAGTTGGTGAAACAGCCATCTTGCTAATGACACCTACTTTTAGCCATGCTCCAAAAAGCCAGCTACATGGATGGAGCAGTGCATCTTCTACTTGTGGCACTCCAGAAGGCTACAAGAGTGCTGTGTTCAGATCTCTGCTCCACTATGAGGACGAGTAGCTTTGTCTCTTAACTCCTATGTAGGCGTGTTCCGGGAAGGACTGCTTAAGTTCCTTTCCGTCGGACCCTTCCACTATGTATAATTAACTAAATATGTACCGATACATAGAAAGGCTGACTGCAGAGCTCAGTAATTTGTACACTCATGTAAGATATAGAATCGCAGAAAGAAAGAGCTGGGGGGACCTTTGGAGGTCATCTAGTCCAACCCCCTGCTCAAGACAGGTACATCCCAATCCAAACCTTCCCATACAAGTGCCTCTCTAGCCTATTCCTAAAACTTCACAAACAACCATGTCCCACAACTACAAGGGACATAGCCCATGGACATCAAGAACACCCTAAGCTGCCACAGCTAAAGCAGGGGGATGAGGGCAGTGTCACTATCCTGCCACTGCAAGGATGTTAAATACACTCAAGAAATCCAGGCAAGAGGATCAGGCCACTTGCACACCCTTCCCCACAAAAAGAAGGGAAATGAACCCATAGTCTGTATTTATCTTACTGTGGGGTAAAATTCCTCCCTTCCCCCAGATGTGGTTGTTGGTCTGATCCTGAGCCTCAAAATTGGCACACCCCACTCACAGTCTCCTGCCTTGGCTGTAGCCAACACCCAATGCATCTGAGGAAGGCTAACGAAAACACACGCACACTACGGGTGTGAGTAGTGGACCCTCTTCAATTTGGATTCGGCCTGAATCAGGGATACTGATTTTATTCGTTGATTTGGATCACTGTTCCCGATTTAATACGGCTGAATCCAAATCTGAAGATTCAATGCCAATTTGGAGAATCAGCAACTTGGACATAAGCAAAGCTTTAAGTGTTTTTTCTACATCCCTTGAGGTAGCAGGCACAGCTCGTGAACACCGCAATGCTGAGTCGCTTGGAGCTTCCCACAGGAGTGCAGGTCCTTCTGGTTCCCTTCCGGGCCTGCTGGGAGCGCGCTGGGCCCCCTCCCATTACCACCATGGCTCAGCGATCAGCCATGGGGGGACTCCGAGTGCCCCCTCAGACACAGGAGGTATCAGCCGCTGAGCCACGGCTGTGCAGGGCCCCCCCCCGTATGCTCCCCAGTGAACCTGGTTGGACCAGCTGGAAGTGCTGCTTCCTTTGATTCAATACAGCTTTGGAAATTTGGCCACCAAACTGAATCAGGGACCAAAGTTTCACAGTCCGAACACACACACCCTGACACCTGTAGCCTCAGGAGGAGGAAAGATTGCCTCCTGCCTCACATGGCAACTAGCAAAGCATAAAATCCTCTCCATGCTGTTCTGCAACCTATGGACAGCAAATGACTCCATATCAGTAATGAGGGTTCAGGTTCCTCCATCAATACATTTAGGCATTAAAACAAAGGTGGAATAGCTCCATGGAGGAGAAAGAGAGAGACCCATCCTTCTGTACCCAAAAGCCTGAAGGTTAGTATGCACACCTTGGATATGGGATTTCATTCTGATCCAATTAGGCAAAACAGGGATAATATGAGGTCTCACAAATAACACAACCACTGGGTCTTCTAGGGTCTCTCTCCCCCTCCCTTTTCCACCAATATTATAACCAGGCCTAGGATACCTCAGCAGATGGCCAGGTCTAGGTGCTTAATACCAGAGGAGAAAGTTTCTGGCTCAGGACCTCAAGAAAGAAGAACGCAATTGCTTGGTCAGAGTAAGGCTCATATCTCCAGCCCCCTACATCAGCTTCAGTAACAAAGCTTCCCCCCCTCCACTGCATTTCACTTTACTTTTGTCCTTTCTTTCAGCAGGCTTCCTAATCTCCTATGTCCTGACATTGTTCTGGAACCTGGCCATCATTGTGGTCTCGCAGCTGGACCCCCATCTCCACACACCCATGTACTTTTTCCTCAGCAACCTCTCTCTCCTCGACCTGTGCTACACCACCACCACGGTGCCTCAGATGCTGGTGAATTTACAAAGTTCCCATAAAACCATCTCCTGGGCTGGCTGCATGGCCCAGCTCTTCATTTTCCTTGGCCTGGGTTCCACCGAGTGTGTCCTGCTGGCAGCCATGGCCTATGACCGCTATGCTGCCGTCTGCCACCCCTTGCGCTACACGGCCATCATGAGCCGCAGCCTCTGCCAGTTGATGGCAACTGCATCCTGGCTGACTGGAATCACAGCCTCCATTGTGCAAACGAGCTTGACCCTGCGACTACCCTTGTGTGGGCACAATCGTATCAATGACTTCTTCTGTGAAGTGCCAGCCCTGCTCAGCCTGGCCTGTGCTGATACCTCCATTAATGAGGCTGGGCTCCTTGTTGGCTCTGTGGCCATCTTGCCAGTTCCTCTGGGACTCATCCTGGTCTCCTACAGCTACATTGGTGCTGCAGTACTGAGGATTCGCTCAGCTGAGGGCAGGTGCAAGGCCTTCAACACCTGTACTTCCCATTTAGCTGTGGTGTCAATCTTCTTTGGCACTGGTATCTATGTATACCTGCAACCCCCCTCTCAGCATCCCCAGGACAAGGGCAAGATAGTTTCCCTTTTTTATGGTGTTATAACTCCAATGGTGAACCCTCTGATCTATACCCTGAGGAACAAGGATGTGCACAGGGCCCTCAGGAGAGCCTTAAGAAGGCAGTGCTGGATGTAGAGGACATAAGCCCAACAAATGACATGGAACTGGCAGGCTTGGGGTATGTGCATGTGGGATAGAGCTCTGCCCTTTAGTTTTGCCGGGTTCTAAGCTGGCCAAAGTTGAGATAGGCAATAGGGATACACAAAGGAGGTGTAGTGGCACAGTCCTATTCCCCTTTCTGACCACACTGGGAGCAGCAGCCAGGGATTTTAAGTCTCTTAATCAGGTAGGAATCCTCCTGTCCCTTCCCCTTTATATGCAGAGCCACTTCTCCTCCCATTCTCCCTTCCCCACCCACCGCTGCCACTGTCCCCTCAACTTCTGGCTGCCCTGCAGGTGGGCCTTGCTCCATGACTGTTTTCGCTCTGTTCTAGCCAGGCTGTTCAGGGAGCTGAGGTCAGCCCAAAACAACAGCAGCAGGTGGTTTCCCCCTCTCTGCCCACTCCTCTCAGGTGTGCCCCATCATTCCAGAAGATGGTTTACAGATGGGGAACCCACCCACTGCACCCACCGCAACTGGCGTTACAGTCCCCAGCAGAGCCCAACTCCCCAAGCTATCCACCCTCTCCCCAAGACTGGCAAAGGGTGAAACATGGCAGCCATCTTGCAGTAGCATCTCAATGCTTCTCTTCTTCCATGTTTCTGTTTAAACGAAGACTGATTTGGGTAAAAGGTACATGTGCTGTGCCAGTAACTATGGTAACACCGTTGCTGCCAGTACTGTCTTCCGAGATAGAGTGAAGTAGGTCTGTGTGAAATTTTGGAAGCCGTTTCATTTCAGAGGTGTTTCGGCACCCGAAACACCGACTCCGAATCAAAACAGAGGGCTCAGAAACATCTCCAAAATGAAACGGAGGCATCCTTAATGTTTTGGAAATGTTTCTGAAAATTTCAGAGCTGGGCTTGCAGGGAAACAACTGTATGCTGCTGCTCTGCCATGCAACTCTCCTCTGCAAGGAGCAGAGGTCTGCGACGTGGGTCTTCTTGCTGCCGCTGCCCTGGCGATAGCCCCATCCTGCTCCCCACTGGGGCCCCAAACCCCTGGCCCCAAGCCCTGGCTGGCTGGGTAGAGCTGTGCAAAGCTAACCTCATAGCCTGTTTGAAAAAGATTCAGAGGAGATTCATCCAAAACAAAACAGTACACTGAACCGAAACAAATCATTCTCTTCCGAAACAGCCGAATCGAAACACAGCCGTTTCGCACAGCCCTAGAGTAAAGGTTCTTGAGCTTCTGCTTTTTCTTGTAAGATGTTACTTTAAACCTTACTTCGATCTCAGTAGAATAAATAACACCTAAATGGTAAGAGAGCCTGTTTCTGCACTACTTACCCTGGACTATGCTATGTAGTTACTATTTCCATGTTCAGATTAGGCACTGAAAACTTACCATGTTCAATCAAAGTTGTTGGCCTTCACATTAAACTACAAGGGTTGGAATGGTGTTGTAGCCACGATATAAACAGGCAAACTCGTGTGGGTGCCTCAAAGGAGACATCATTAGGGACATGATTATATGAGGGAGAGGGGTCAGGACTTGGGGGGGGGGGGGGGAAATACAGGAAACTGCTGCATCCTCTTTCTTTCCGCTTTGGTCTGTGAGCATTCATGTCACTGTTGAAGGTTTTTGTTCATTCCTTCATCAACACATGGACTGCCTATACACATGCTTGGGGGCAGGGGGGTGTTTTGGAGAGGCTGTCTGAGGACTGCTCTAATTAATTAAAACAGCTCACCATCATGTACTCAATCGACGCAACATGTGTAAACATCATAGCAACAGGTACTTCAGTCTTCCACACAAGTGTTCTACAGAATGTCACCAGGCAAGGAAATGAACACCAATCTCTGCAGTTCCTACTCCTAACATGTGGCCCATCACTCCTTGTGCCTCACCAAATACCTCTCGACTCCATGTTAGGTTCCTGCACTATACACATGCTTCTTTTTGCAAGACGCGGTCTTGCTCCTGCCCGTCTGTGGAGAGGATGGTTTAGGTGGAAGAGCCAGGCGACATTAGACATGCAGAAAGGGAAGAGATAAGGATACAGTGCAGAAGCAATGAAAGGACTTAATGTAGAGGCAGTGCATTCTGTGTTGAGGGTAACCGTTATCGAGACTCCAAAGGCAATGGAGAGGAGGCGCTAAGTAGTGGCATGAAGGAGCAGTGAGAAATTAAATTATTACTTTAAGAAAAGAAAATTTTCCAAGAAAAAGAAATACCCCTAAATGTTGTTCTCTCCAGTTCTGTGGAGTTTCCTTGTGGTTCCCCCTGTACTTCCAGAGGCAACTACATTTGTAAAATAAGATAATAAGGGGTGGGGTAAATGAAGTCTGAAATTGCCATAAGCTTGGTTATCCAGAATTTTTTTTAAGAACTTCTCCCTCTGTAAGCAATTCTCTAGCACAGCCATAACCAATATCCTGCCACTGTGCCCTTCTATGCAATACCAAAAACAGAGGACTAGGCACATGAACACTTTAAAACAGAAATAATATCTCCTCAACAAGGAGGCAACCCTCAACTGTGGCGAGACTCTCAACCTCAGTTGCCCAAGCAATTGCTACGTTCAAGGGACCCTTCACTTCCTGTTATTGCCTTTCTACACTTATCCATACCTCATCACACCCCAAGTGCTGCAGTGGTCACAACCTCTATAATTCTGAACAGTAGCCAGGTGGAGGGGAGATCTCAATGAAAATGCTCAGTTCCTTTTTTGATGACATACAAGGAGAGGTGGAGGGGAGACTGGTACAGGCTTGTGCATAAGCACCATGTACCTCGACTCTCCCCAGATCAGAATTAAAATGCTGCTGAGTTTTGACAACTGGTGGCTCAACAACCCAGGGCTTCTCCCACTGTATCCCCCGGGTGACAACAGCTGCCAAGATACCACCCTATGCGCATTGTCACATCCTAGGTCCTCATTTGAGACTGGCATGAAGGAGAAAGGCAATTCCTAGCATATCAGCTGGGGTGAGATGGGAGCGGGGAAACAAGTCAAGGAACAATGACAACTTGAGCTGGAATCCTCACTCTAGACATGGCATCAGGCCACCCCCAAACTGTTTGTTTCAGTTATGTGCTGGGTTTCTCAGTATGGAGCCCAAGAGATAACCCAAGGGGATGAAGCAGACAGTCCAGGGTTTTAGACAGGGCTAAAGTAAGGAAGAAGAAGTCTGTCCCAAACCTGAGCAACTGGTTCAGTGACCCTCTCCTCCAATATCCCACAGCCCACTGCACCAGATCATTCATCAGTCTGTGACCCAAACCACACTAAACAAAACCTCAGCCAGCTAGCACTACACCCTCCCCACAAGATATTTGGCCAACTACTTCAGCAGCCTATACTCTACTACCCAGGATCAATACGTTGCTACTGAAGTAATCTGTGCCCTCCCCACAGAATCGCCAACCAGCTCTTCTGGTATCCTTTATGCCCCTGGAACAAATCAAGCAATCAAACCATCAGGGCCAGTCTGCAAGCTCCCTTCTTGTTCCCACAGCTTCCCTGGCTTACACACCCCTCAGCATCACAGGAGAGCAGATTTCTCCTGGACTGCATACTTCTGGAAATATAAACATGAGCAAGTTCCATGAGCTCCTTTACAGAGGTGGAGAAATTGAGTCCTTCAGAGGTGCAATTTGCAGCAAGTCAGTACCCAAGCTGGAATAACACCTCAGTCAAAGTCTCTGGCCATGTACTGGAACATGTTTCTTAAAGGAAAAAAAAAATTCCTAAAGTTCTTCCAATTTTCTTTCGCTCTGTAGAGATTTGATCAAATGTACTTGGGGCTTCCCCATCACGTTCCCTTCCCACTTGGCTGTGGTGATCCTCATCATTTCCATGAATACAAGTGATGGGAATTCTGGGAATGTACCACAGACGCGCATTTAATTTTGACATTCAATACACTGAAGGATTCAGGAACAGAATCCAAGCTTCAAGTCTTCCTCCCCCCGCTGCTATAACCACTAGACTCTACTCCCCTCCTGCAACTGGGGGATAGAACCTAGGAGTTCTGACCCCCATCCTCTTTTGCTCTAACCACTAGACACCACTTGTTTGCCAGAACCAGGAATACAGCCCAGGAAGATTGATCCCCAGCCCCCAGCTTTAATGCCACCCTCCTAAGCCCGAGAATTATAATATAATAAAAGGCTTAGTCTGCGTGTCTGTCTGTCCGTAACGCTTTTGCCAAACTGCGCATGCGCTGCCGAGAGGGTGGGCTGCACAGGCCCAAGTCTGCCCCGCTGCCGCAGAAGCCTGGCAGTGGGGAACAGACCTTCACAGCAGCAGGGCTTCCCCCCACCTCCCTGCCCGAGGGCAAAGGAAGGGATCATGGTGGCAGTGCCCCACTGCCACCCAGCCTGAATGCCCCCCAGAACAGCCGGCAGGGAAGGGGAGGCAGTGGGCAGGTAGGCAGGCAGATGCGGGCCAGGCGGGTTCAAAGCAGTGGGGGGGGAAGAGGGGAGCAGGGTCGGACGAGGAGCAGAGCAGGGGAAGAGATGGGATGCGGGGCTGGACGCAGGGCTCCATCCCTGCCAGACCCCCATCATTCTTGATGGGCAATTTGCTAGTAGGAAAATAAAGGCTCCAGGCATCACTTCTGTGCAATAAACTAGGGCTCAGTGCTCAGCACTAGCGCAATTCAAGGACTAGCCCCACTTAGTTCACACCCACTTGAAGTGATCATCCCTGGCCTTAGAGTCTATAGGATGTACAGTGGAAGGGGGTATGAGACAACTGGGACTTGGTGGTTAGTGAGCTGCAGGCATCCGGGTTTTCCATTTCCCATGGAAAAAAAAGGTGGAGGAAATAACGGCTTTCTTATTTTAGCGTGGATTTGGCAGTTTTGCCATGAGCCCTCTTCAGGCTGGCAAAGCTCCAGCCTGCAGTGGGCTAGAAGGAAGCAGAAGGAGGGCTGTCAGGCAAGGGGGCACCATGTGCATATATATGCCACCAGGCAGCCTGGAGAGCAGCTCCCACAGGTAGGTGGCAGAGTGGGTTGAGGCCCCTGTAGAGAAGGGAGTTATGCAGGGGGGCTGCAATGCACTGCTGCAAGGTCCAGGCAGGGAGCAGGATGGGGCTGCAGGCAACTCATCCAGGGGCTGGGGGCGTGGGGCCAGCTGCCCACCGATGCACAGTCTCAGAGGGGCAGGGGGGCCGGTGCCCTCCAGATCTGTGTGCAGGTGTGCACTGCCCACTGCGGACTTGAGCTCCCACCCTGCTGCCCTCTCCAAAGGCCTCCACAGCCTGCTGGTGTGACCCAGTGCTGCAGAGCACAGTAGGGCCGTGCAGCAAAGCTGTTTCCCCTGCGAGCTCTGTGCTGCCCTGGCAATGTGTCCTGCAAGCAACCCCGCACAACTGCCCTCATGCACAGGGGCACATCACCAGGGCATGCAGTGCTCGCAGCAGCAGGCAGCTTTCCTGCATGGTCCCCCTGTGCTCTGCAGTGCTGGGTTGCACTGGCTGAGCTGCAGTGGCTGCAGGGGAGGGAGACCTGGGGGAGGGGGTCCTCCTGGTGGGGAAAAAAAGAGAGGCACAGGCAGGGTCAGAGGGGCTGTGGGGAAGCTTTCATTTTAAATCACAGACTTTGTGTGAGGGGCATCAGAGAATTTGAGATTTCTTATCAGAGAAAACCAGGATCCCTGGTGATCTGCTCAACTACTGGACTAGTTTGCCAGAAGACCTGGGATCTAGAGAAACTTTGGGACAGATGAAGCCTTGTCCAGAGAGTGACAACAGCAGGGATCATTAACCATCTGCTCCTCCCCAAGTGTTTTTTCCAGCTGGTGCCACAGTAAGTCTCTCTCTCATTTGTGAGGCAGAACAATGTCATCAGCTGACTTCCCAGACCCCTGGGGACGAAGCAGAGACAAAACCATCCCTCCTGCTCCAACAGCCATAAACACTTGTCTCTTTTCTTACACAGCCCTCAGAGGGTGAGGATGCTGGGCTGGGTGAGCAGCCTCCTGCAGTCACACAGATGTAGACTCTTCTCAGCTAGTTGGGAGTTAAACCTGCCCAGGTACAAAGCAAACCTGGCCCCATCAGCAGCACACAGGGGCAGGAAGGAAACTGGGGACACAGGCAGGGGCTGCCAGCTATAAAGGTTGCTAGTTATCTATGCAACCATACATCCTTTTCTTCATCCCTCCTCCTCTTTCCACTCTCACACCATAAGCACATAATGGTTCCTCCACCCTGTGCCTCTCCCCAGGGCTGTCCCTCGATCTCTCCCTCTCCGTCCCTCGCACTCCAAGCTGAACCAGCTGCTGGGACAGAGGGCTCCTGTGACTCCAGGACGCTGGCTGTAAGCATCTCTCTAACCAGCTGGGCAGCCCAGTGATATTTTCCTGGCACCCAATACAGGAGAAGCAACATCCTAGTCAGGCGCAGACAGTGCTGCCATTAAGCAAGTGCTTAGGATTAGACAATCTCCCTGACCCCCGCAAAAACGTTTAGAAATTGAGCCCAGCCACGCAGGGGTGCCTCTTCTCAGGGACCCCAGAGACTCAGCACAGGGCACCAGGCACCGCAGTCCAGGCTCTGCTCTGGAGTTGGATCATCAGGAGCCAGCCAGCCGGGAGCAATCTGGGCACAGAGGAATGGAGGTGAGTAGTGCTTACTTCAAACCATTGGTCCATAATAACAAGTCTTATCCTCTGGGGTGTCTGGAAGCTTCGGAGCTTACTAGGTTGTTTGCTTTCTCAGCTCTTTAAAATGGGGATGGCAGCATGTTCTTGCCTCACAGGAACTTCAGGAGTATAAAGGCATC